AACAGGTGTATTTTAGTAGTCTATAATTATGTATTATTTTATCAGCTGTTCTTCATCTAAACTCTAGTCATAAATACTCAGAATATAATATATAATATATACTGCTTTCACCTCATGATAGCAGACCAGAACCGGGTGTCTGTTCTGGGTCTAAGGCGAATAAGGTTTTATTTACGTGATGTAAACCTAATTAAGCATTTTAATGTCGAGTCCCACGCCGCACCAGACCGGTGCCCACCCGCATTCAACCCCTATAGACCGGTGCCCACCCACATTCACCCCCTATAGACCGGTGCCCACCCGCATTCACCCCCTATAGACCGGTGCCCACCCGCATTCACCCCCTATAGACCGGTGCCCACCCGCATTCACCCCATATAGACCGGTGCCCACCCGCATTCACCCCCTATAAACCGGTGCCCACCCGCATTCACCCCCTATAGACCGGTGCCCACCCGCATTCACCCCCTATAGACCGGTGCCCACCCGCATTCACCCCCTATAAACCGGTGCCCACCCGCATTCACCCCCTATAGACCGGTGCCCACCCGCATTCACCCCCTATAGACCGGTGCCCACCCGCATTCACCCCCTATAGACCGGTGCCCACCCGCATTCACCCCCTATAGACCGGTGCCCACCCGCATTCACCCGTTATAGACCGGTGCCCTCCCGTTATAGACCGGTGCCCACCCGCTCATCATAACCGAATCCCCCCCGCCTGCTCGTCACGGGGACCCCTCACACACCCCCACCACGTGTGTATGTCCTACTGTTTGACCGGACAGTGTCGGACCTCTGGGTTGTGCATATGGACCTCTGATCTAAATATATATAATACATATAAATACATATAATATATATAATACATATATATATAAACTAGTGCATCTGATTCTGGGCTCAATAGAAGATGGCGGACCATAATACACATGAACAGGAGCTGCCAGACCTGCGGGACTTCCTCACAGAGGACCCCTACCTTGCGCCCTACCAACAAGACTTATGTCGAAGGTAATAACGTCACACCATGTGCACTACATAGGTAATAACGTCACACACCAAGTGCACTAGGTAATAACGTCACACACCAAGTGCACTACATAGGTATTAACGTCACACACCAAGTGCACTACATAGGTATTAACGTCACACACCAAGTGCACTACATAGGTAATAACGTCACACACCAAGTGCACTAGGTAATAACGTCACACACCAAGTGCACTACATAGGTAGTAACGTCACACACCAAGTGCACTACATAGGTAGTAACGTCACACACCAAGTGCACTAGGTAATAACGTCACACACCAAGTGCACTACATAGGTAGTAACGTCACACACCAAGTGCACTACATAGGTAGTAACGTCACACACCAAGTGCACTACATAGGTAGTAACGTCACACACCAAGTGCACTACATAGGTAATAACGTCACACACCAAGTGCACTAGGTAATAACGTCACACACCAAGTGCACTACATAGGTAGTAACGTCACACACCAAGTGCACTAGGTAATAACGTCACACACCAAGTGCACTAGGTAATAACGTCACACACCAAGTGCACTACATAGGTAGTAACGTCACACACCAAGTGCACTACATAGGTAGTAACGTCACACACCATGTGCACTACATAGGTAGTAACGTTACACACCAAGTGCACTACATAGGTAGTAACGTCACACACCAAGTGCACTACATATGAATCACTAACCCTAACCCTGCTTCATGTCAACTCGGTTTATAAGGCTTTGCACTATAGAGTCACTGGCGTGGTAGTATTATGTAAATAAAGGTCATGTTAGATAATGCATTTATGTCTAGTTAGACCCAAACATATAATGTGTGCAGTGCATTTATTATTAACTGTGTAACAACTTGAAATCAATACTCTTATTTTATTGAAGCGGTCATGTTGAATGGTACAGGGTCTAATGAAAGTGCCATTGTTTCTCCTCCGTATCACGTGGTAGAGAGGAGTTGTAAACACATTGCTGGCCAATGAGAGTTTGCGTTGCAGGCTTGGGGTGTGATTTGCATACGCCACGCCCCTTCAACGTCCCTTTTGATTGGTTAACGCCTGCATGACGGAACTGTCTGTTATAAATAAATAGATGTCTGATATACCAGAATCCAGCAGTGGCTCCTGATTGGCTGTGTAGTAAGGACGGTAGTGAGGACAGCTTTTGTTTGTCACCAGACATGTATATAATAGACTGTATAAATATAGATATGGATTCATTGCAGATGTAAATTATGGAACGCCATTTCATCCATATTAAATAAATAAATACAGCTATGAAATTATAAATATAGCTATGAAATTAGACAATAATAACATAAATATGTATAAATATAAATGTATAAATCAGTTAATATGTAAAGAAATAGATTTTATTTCAAAATGATGTTTTCCATAAGACAACATTTTTTTTTTTTTAGGGACTTGTAATTCACAATTCCAAATGTATTCACTCCTTTTTCATAATGCCGTATTAATTTCATAATGACACATTTCCATTTGGTATATTCAAATGAATGGGGCGTGGCCATCTCACCGCTTCAGACCAATAGCAGTTTGTGTGCGGACCTTATGGAGACCTTGGTAGTCTTCGAGATACAATGCTAACGTTAGCAGATCAAATTGATCAACTAAGTGTACACCTGGTGAACGAAATACTCGGGCGGGTAAGTGCTCTTCAAGACATAGACGTGGACGTGTTAAACAGCTTGAGACTGATTGTATTCATGTGGAAGATGAATAAAACCTATTTCTTTACATATTAAGTGATTTATACATTCATATTTACATGTATTTATGTAATTATTGCCTAATTTCATAGCTATATTTATTATTTCATAGCTGTATTTATCTATATTTGGATCAATTATAAACTAATTTCATTAACTGAGAATGTGAAGGCGTTTGAATACTTCCTGAAGGTGTTTAAATTCGTCCTGAAGGTGTGTGAATACTTCCTGTAGGTGTGTGAATACTTCCTGTAGGCGTTTGAATACGTCCTGAAAGTGTGTGAATACGTCCTGAAGGTGTGTGAATACGTCCTGTAGGTGTGTGAATACTTCCTGAAGGTGTGTGAATACGTCCTGAAGGTGTGTGAATACGTCATGTAGGTGTGTGAATACGTCCTGAAGGTGTGTGAATACTTCCTGTAGGTGTGTGAATACGTCCTGAAGGTGTGTGAATACATCCTGTAGGTGTGTGAATACGTCCTGAAGGTGTGTGAATACTTCCTGTAGGTGTGTGAATACATCCTGTAGGTGTGTGAATACTTCCTGTAGGTGTGTGAATACGTCCTGTAGGTGTGTGAATACTTCCTGAAGGTGTGTGAATACTTCCTGTAGGTGTGTGAATACATCCTGAAGGTGTGTGAATTCTTCCTGTAGGTGTGTGAATACTTCTTGTAGGTGTGTGAATACTTCCTGTAGATGTGTGAATACATCCTGAAGGTGTGTGAATACTTCATGTAGGTGTGTGAATACTTCCTGAAGGTGTGTGAATATTTCCTGTAGGTGTGTGAATACGTCCTGTAGGTGTGTGAATACTTCCTGAAGGTGTGTGAATACTTCCTGAAGGTGTGTGAATACGTCCTGAAGGTGTGTGAATACTTCCTGTAGGTGTGTGAATACGTCCTGAAGGTGTGTGAATACGTCCTGTAGGTGTGTGAATACTCCCTGAAGGTGTGTGAATACTTCCTGTAGGGGTGTGAATATGTCCTGAAGGTGTGGGAATTCTTCCTGTAGGTGTGTGAATACTTCCTGTAGGTGTGTGAATACTTCCTGTAGGTGTGTGAATACGTCCTGAAGGTGTGTGAATACTTCCTGTAGGTGTGTGAATACTTCCTGAAGGTGTGTGAATACTTCCTGAATGTGTGTGAATACTTCCTGTAGGTGTGTGAATACTTCCTGAAGGTGTGTGAATACTTCCTGTAGGTGTGTGAATACGTCCTGTAGGTGTGTGAATACTTCCTGAAGGTGTGTGAATACGTCCTGAAGGTGTGTGAATACTTCCTGTAGGTGTGTGAATACTTCCTGAAGGTGTGTGAATACGTCCTGAAGGTGTGTGAATACTTCCTGAAGGTGTGTGAATACGTCCTGAAGGTGTGTGAATACGTCCTGAAGGTGTGGGAATACTTCCTGTAGGTGTGTGAATACTTCCTGTTGGTGTGTGAATACTTCCTGTAGGTGTGTGAATACGTCCTGAAGGTGTGTGAATACTTCCTAAAGGTGTGTGAATACTTCTTGAAGCCACTGTTGCTATGCAGGTATTTGAGCTGCCTGAGGCTGTTTAGAACTATGAGACCAGGAATCCTGCCTTCCTATGAGACCAGGAATCCTGTGCCTGTTCTTCCCTGTGCCTGTTCTTCCCTGTGCCTGTTCTTCCCTGTGCCTGTTCTTCCCTGTGCCTGTTCTTCCCTGTGCCTGTTCTTCCCTGTGCCGTGTCCTCAGCCCTCGCTCCATATCCAGATTTGTTTGTGACATTTTCTTATTTGTGTCTCAGAGCATGAATTTCTGGCAAGTACTGGCTGTGTGCTACACATGACAACAATCTCCCGTATTCTTCATATGTATGGGCTATGGGGTAGGGTGACAAGACGGAAGCCTTTTCTTACGATGAAAAACAGCCAAGTTTGGCTGAAGTTTGCAAAAACAAACATCAAGTCTCCCAAAAGCATGAGGGCAAATGAATTATCTTCTGATGAAACCAAAGTTGAACTTTGTGAAGCATGATGGCAGCAGCATCATGCTTTGGGCCCATTTTTCTACGTCTACAACCGAGGCCTTTGTCAGAGTGAGACAACGACCCAAAGCACACAACAATAAAAGCTTGGCATCACCAGAAGAAGATTCACATTAGGGAATGTCTCAGCCAGAGCCCAGACCAGGATCCAATAGAACATCTCTGGGGTGATCTGAATAGGGGTATGCTTTCTTTAACTAGGCAGGTTGAGAACAAATTCTAATTTGCAACGGTGACCAGGGGATTGAACCTAGGACATCATACTTACAGAGCATGCACTCTATCACTGAGATACACCAAACTGCTCTAAATTTGGATCACCTTTCCAAAGAAAAGTGGGCAAATATTGCCACGTCATGCTAATAGACTCCTATCCAAAAAGATTTAGTGCTGCAATTCATCCAAAAGGTGCTTGAACAATGTATTAGCTTAAAGGTGTGCACACTTATGCAACCAGGTTATTGTAAGGTTTTCATTTTTCCCCCTCAAAGATTTCAAATGTTTTTAATTGAATTGTTCTCGTTTTAGAACACATCAAAGGTGGAAAAACACAATTTATCTTTCTCAAAGTTTTTTATATACATGAGGAAATTTCTAAGTTTTATTTATTTATTTAAATCGTTTATCTTTATGAAAATGTTTGGATGGAAACCTAGCTAGTGTAGTTTTCTATGGCCTCATATACGTGGCTATTTTAGTTTGGTTATTTTTCTCTGATGTCATTCCTCGTTGTTCAGTTTGCTCGTGTTCTAATTGCCTGTTAAGCTACAATAGTGTTTGTGATTCCTATAAATGGGATTTAATATCTGAAACTGTGTAGTATGATTGGGGTCAGAATCGAGTCAAGATACTATCATCTGTCCCACCTCCCAAATCACACCCTAATCTCTGGTTTAGGACACTGCTTTTGACCAGGGCCCCACGGGAAATTGGGGAGTCAGAACGTGTCTCGTTCCTTAGTCATTTCACTGTTGACTCCTGTTAACAGGATCTAATGTGTGTTAATACGTTCGTGATTGGGGTCGGACTACGGTCAGGACATAACGACCATGTCCCACTGTTCATTACAGCGGACCGTCCATGGGTTAAATTAGGCCTGAACTAATATCTATGTGTCCAACATAACACAGTTGTTATGAGACAGGGACTTCTACTGGTGTGTGTGTGCGTGTGTGTATGTGTGTGTGTGTGTGGGTAATATTGTAGGCTCCACATTTTGTCCGTCTCAGTGATATCTCCGGGTTGGGATTTGAAATTGATCCAGATTGTCTGCTAGGGGTCGTGTGAAGGTCAGGTTGGCTCCGGTGCAGTGAACTGAATTTGCCGGAACATTCCATTCATAAGAAGACATGCTACATGCTGGCTAGCGGAAATTGAGGAATGTCGTCATTGTTGCCCGACTGGAATTTCTAAATGAGAATGCATTTTTTCTTTTCCTGCTAAAGAACACCATTAAGTCCACCTGTGGTTCAGTTGGGTAAAACTGGAGCTTACAAAGGGTTGTGGGTTTAAATCCAATTGGGGATCAATACAAAACAATATTTACATGACTTCCTGTGGCCTGGATAAGAGTATTTGTTTTCTGACTTAATGTCAGTGTGATATGAATGTATAGGTTTCGTGTGCAGAGACGCTGTCCAATGTGAACAAATAGGAACCTGGAGAACGAACAGGAACCTGGTGAACGAACAGGAACCTGGTGAACGAACAGGAACCTGGTGAACGAACAGGAACCTGGTGAACGAACAGGAACCTGGTGAACGAACAGGAACCTGGTGAACGAACAGGAACCTGGTGAACGAACAGGAACCTGGTGAACGAACAGGAACCTGGTGAACGAACAGGAACCTGGTGAACGAACAGGAACCTGGTGAACGAACAGGAACCTGGTGAACGAACAGGATCCTGGTGAACGAACAGGAACCTGGTGAACGAACAGGAACCTGGTGAACGAACAGGAACCTGGTGAACGAACAGGAACCTGGTGAACGAACAGGAACCTGGTGAACGAACAGGAACCTGGTGAACTTTGTGCTGGATGGCAGACGGCTTTGTGTTGTAAAGGTCAGGTTTGGGGATGCTTGTTTAGTGACCATGTTTTGTTTCAGCCGTACCTACAAGAGGATTTAATAACAAGTCCAAGATGAAAGCTCAAAACAGAACCAACTAGTAAGTTCCATGAAGGCCAAGTGTCTTCTGTCTTTTCCTTGTGTACAGATGAGACCTAGATCACAAGGTCAGGGTTGTTCCTCAGTAATCTTTGTTATTTCTGTATTTTTATTGTACATTCATTAAATGGTAACGATTGGGACCTTGCCAAAAGCATAACAAAAGCAACACTTAGTGACACCTAAATACAATTACAATAATCAAACACCACCAAAAGCACTTGTGGTTATATTTTGTGAGGAACGGACCTGGGCCCAATATGTCTGGTGTCTAATTTATTAAGATGAATATTAGTGGCAAGCCTCTACTTGATGTCCAGAGCTTGTTGGATGGTCCTCTGTAACAGTGTATATTTTGCAATGCTTTGTCACAAATTAAGAAACAAATACTGAATTTAGATGTTTAGACTGGAGGTGGCAGATGTGTGTCTGAAAAGAGAGTAAATAATTAAGCTTAGAGTTCAACTGCTCAGAACATGTTGATTACTGAGCCGAGGATTTGATCTAATGACCTTACGATTACTGGTCAGATGCTCTAACAGATCCTACCCAGAATACCCAGAATCCTTACTGAGGCTTCTCTTCAGTTATGTGTGTGTGTGTGTGAGAGAGTGTGTGTGTGTACACTTTACTGAGGCTTCTCTTCAGTTATGTGTGTGAGTGTGTGTGTGTGTGTGTGCACTTTACTGAGGCTTCTCTTCAGTTATGTGTGTGTGTGTGTATGTGTGTGTGTGTGTGTGCACTTTACTGAGGCTTCTCTTCAGTTATGTGTGTGAGTGTGTGTGTGTGTGTGTGTGTGTGTGTACACTTTACTGAGGCTTCTCTTCAGTTATGTGTGTGAGTGTGTGTGTGTGTGTGTGCACTTTACTGAGGCTTCTCTTCAGTTATGTGTGTGTGTGTGTATGTGTGTGTGTGTACACTTTATTGAGGCTTCTCTTCAGTTATGTGTGTGAGTATTGTACAGGCTGTGACAGTTGCATACAGAATGAGCCTCTTAAGGCCCTGCTGTCTCCCATCGTCAGGCGTTCCTCTCTTCATTAGCAGCTTCCTGCCCCTGGGACGAGGAGAAGTGGGAGTGGTGCAAGATGAAAAGACTGGGAGACAGGTCAGGCTTGGGAGGTTTGTTTCAGTGTGTGCTCTCCTCAGCAGAGGGAGTGTGTCGCTGTATATTCCTGTGCCGACTGTGTTAGACTGTCACCTGTCCTAGTACCATATGGGAGGTGACGGAGCCTAGTAAATTGGCTAGTGAGGGTTTGAGGAGAGACCGAGTTATGTACTGTCTCTGAGGTGTCTGTGTGTGTGTGTGTGTGTGTGTGTGTGTGTGTGTCAGTGTGTGTCTGTCTGTCTGTCTGTGTGTGTCTGTGTGTGGGTGTCTGTGTGTGTGTGTCTGTGTGTGTGTATGTGTGTATGTGTGTGTCTGTCTGTGTGTGTGTGTGTGTGTGTCTGTGTGTCTGTGTGTCTGTGTGTGTGTGTCTGTGTGTCTTTGTGTGTGTGTGTGTGTGTGTCTGTCTCTGTGTGTGTGTGTGTGTCAGTGTGTGTATGTGTGTGTCAGTGTGTGTCAGTGTGTGTGTCTGTCTCTGTGTGTGTGTGTGTGTGTGTATAGATATTCAGGGCTTGTTAAGTCACTAATGTGAGCAGCCTTGAGATGGGATGGTGGGAGATGGCGAGGGGAGAGGGACGAGGAGGAGGGGGGAAAGGGAGGAGGAGTGGGGGAAGGGGGAGGAGTGGGGGGAAAGGGAGGAGGAGTGGGGGAGGAGTGGGGGAAAGGGAGGAGGAGTCGGGGGAAAGGGAGGAGGAGTGGGTGTAAGTCATTACTGAGCTATTGTCAGTAGACATCTCTTCCCTCTGTCATGTGTGTGTGTGTGTGTGTGTGTGTGTGTGTGTGTGTGTGTGTGTGTGTGTGTGTGTGTGTGTGTGTGTGTGTGTGTGTGTGTGTGTGTGTGTGTGTGTGTGTGTGTGTGTGTGTGTGTGTGTGTGCGTGTGTGCGTGTATATGTGTGTGTGTCTGGTGGAACCTAATGCCAGGCTCATCTTCTTATCATCATTCACATCCCTATGGACTCACCTCATGAATAGGAAATGTATGCGTTTTATAGTTTTGGGGAACTTTTTCTGGTTTTACCATCAACTGACTGGAGAACAGAAGTAGAGAAGTTTAGTTGACGCAGTTTATTAAGGGTTCGTGGTTTGTAGAAATAGTTGGTAATTGTTTGAGTGCTTTTCTCACCGCTGTTCAGGTCCTTTCACCCTGAATGCTGCTTCAGAAATGACTCTATCATCTGTCTTCCTCTCAGTTTACTTTAATTTCATTTGACGGTTATTTGACATGGGGAACATTTATTTGTTTTGCCAACACTAGTGGAAAATAATATTGATAAAATACAAAGTGATGAAAGTTGAAGAATATAACACAAATTCAGGCTGAACTAGTTAAAACACCGTATCTTGATATCAAGGAATCGTACACTACAAATATGAAAGTGACTTTTGACAGATGAAATAGAATTGAAACTACTATTGACATGGACATTTGAAATATTAGTCTCAGAAAACATTTTACATTTTGATCTCTAAAAATGTCTTTAGATCTCGCTTATTCTTGATATTTTATGATTAAAAGGCTTTCCATATAATATCAATTCGGGAATTTTATTTTATGCCAACAATAGGTTTTCTTGATTTGGCATTACTGCTATTCAAGCCTTTATTTTTATTAGTGAAAGCTAGATTGGCTGCACGGAATGTGATTTGGCACCTGGCTAGTATTCTCATTTATTTGCACTGATGTACTATCTCGCTATCTGCTGGCACGTTTCGTCATTAAAAGAAACAGACTGTGGTTTCTGCCTAGACAACAATTTAGGCTAGCAATTATTCGAGCCGTTACTGAAGGACACCTCAGAAAACCTTGATGTGTGAGTTAGAGAGCAGTTGAAACACTGAGCCAAAGGTGCTCACATTTCCCTCCTCACACAACTCACGCTACTCTGTATCAGAGCAATGTGTGCTAGATATCACCTGATTGATATGAAATTATGCAAAGCTGGGAAACAGCAGAAATGCTAATGCCATTTGAATAAAGCCATTTGTGACTTTGCTTATTAGGCTGGCTCATCACTTACATACTGCTT